ATATATATAGAAACTCATTTTGAAGCCGGAATAGATATATACTTATGAAACTCTAATTTAAAACCGAGAATAGACTCAACAGGTAAGGGTAGGCACATTCATCAGATATAATCACGCATATAAAGATATTATCATACACACTAAGGTCACAAGATTATTTCACATCATTCATATCAGTATCCAAACGTTATCTCAACACGTAAACACATTTTGTGGTGCCGCAGGACTAATCGCATGCCCATACATGAGGGTCAGCGCATATAGCTCTGACACGGCCCCAAAGCACCCTGCCTTGTACCGCAGCAGAAGGGGATTGATCGCAACCAATCGATGAACCGCAGCTCATTTATAACGTTTGATCGCAACCAAACGGTGGACCGCAACCCTATATATATTTATATACCTGGCCGATCGCAACCGGCCTGATTAACAACCGATGGTTCTCAACCCATCCAACTGCCCGTATAGCCAATTGATCGCAACCAATTGTGGTATCATGCACACATAACACATAGCCAAGCACATGCAACCCACATTAACACATAGGGAGGGGAAAAAACATATATAAAACTTGTGCGTGGTCAACCACATTGCTAGGAATAAGCCTAAGGGGTTCATACATCTTTATCCTAGGCCAACCGGATACCAATTCGACTAGCATGCAATATACAAGACTCTCTTATCCTACGAACGGTACCCGAAACATCAAACTAGACTCAGGCACGACAACGGGGTCTAATGGGACACCACGAGACATGGGGAAACATCAAACGGGAAAAACCACCACGCTCCACACTGGAATTCCAGCGGGTGGCCCGGCGGCACATCACGAGGCAGCGGGTGCCCGGAGGGCAGTCGCCTGCCCGCTGCCAGGCGGCCTCATGGGGCAGCGGGTAGGTGGCGGGTACCCTTGCCCCCACCTACCCCAACTGACTCTTATGTAATAATTCGGTCCCGGGATCCCTTATGGAACCCGAAACCATGTCCAAACACATTTAAACGCAAACGACGACACCACGTGATCAAGTAATGGATTAAAACCAAGAATCACATTAAATACATCCTAACATGATTTCTAAACATATCAAGACTCAATACCCGAACATGCAAAATCCCACCCAAACATACCAAGAATATCACAATACGAAATCCACGTTTTAACCCTAGGGCTCTAGTCATAATTAAAACACAAGATCATTGATATAATTTATCTTAGAATCAAGAACATCAAGATTATCACATAAGTATCAAGATTAGCATATAAACATCAAGATCATCTCATAAACATCAAGATTATCTCATAATCGTCATATCAATCTCAAGAAAAGCCTTATCAAGATACAAACACAGAATCATATATCGAAGGAGCCAATGAAGAAGATTATAGCAAGGAAAATAGGTTTTGTTGAGACATGGGTTACCTCTTAGCCTTAATTAGAATCCTTTGCTACTAAGGTTCTTTTTCTAAGATCTCCTCTTCGTGATTTCTCCTATATTTGGTGATAGGGGAATTCTTGGGAATTCTTCTGTGGCAGAATCTATTGTGGTGTGAATTCTAGGTGCCTCCAATGTCCTTATATATATATTCTAAGGGTCCTAACTGGGGTCTGAATGGTAGGGATTTACTTATTCTATTCCTTATAGGACTAAGGGTTTGGTTTAGGGATAAGGGTCCATGATCCATGGTGGACCCTTCTTAATTAATTAAGGGAATTCAATTCTCTTTTAAGGGTAAGTAATTAAATAATTAGTTTGGGTTAGAGGCCGTAACACGGGGTGTTACAATAGTAGCACTAACTGGATATCAAATATTAATGAATCTATGCCCACAAGTGGCTACATGTTCACGTTAGTCGATGCAATCGTTTAATGGAAATCCTTGAAACAAATTGTGATAGCTAGATCCATGATGGAATTATAGTTGATAGATTTGGACAGTGTAGTGAAGAGGTTGAATGGATATGCCATTTTTAGAGGATATTCTTGGAAAAAACGTGTACCTTAAATTTGCATACATTGTGATATCCAATTGGAAGGGTATATAGTAATATGGATAATGGTATGTCTAGACGTATACATCATACACATAATACCATTAAACAACTTCTCACAATGGTTGTTATATTTGTTGACTACATGAAGCCAAAGGTTAAAATAGCGGATCTGCTAACCAAATAGTTGAGCACAGAGTTGGTAGAAAAGTTTTCACGAGGAATAGAACTAAAGCCCTTGGAATAAAAGTTCTATAGTGGAAACCTAACCCAAATGGAACCAAGGTTCAAAAGGGACAACAATATTCTAGAACGAAATGTGGTCACTGTAGGGGTTTCGTACTTCTATCAACTCCTCGATGAAACACTAACTCGCGCATAAGGTTCGCATGTATGCATGCTTTAATCATTTTAAATGCCAGCTGATGACATGAGTAGAGTATGTGAGGTACTTAGAAAACATTACCTATGTGAAATAAATGAGTTCGCTTCAAAGGAGAATTTTACGGGCTCAATTCTTTAGAAATTCTCAAAGAACCAGGCAAGGTGTTCCATGGACAAAAGAGAACTCATTCATTAATGTACACAAATTTTTATATATATGCACAAATCCGTTATACATGACTCACATTCGTCTTTATTATGTTTAACTAGTATTTTATATGCGCGATGCGCAAAAAATATATGCCCAATATTAAAATTAAATATTAAAATCTTAGTTATATTAATTTTTTTAAATAATAGTGTGTGTGTGTGTGTGTGTGTGTGTGTGTGTATATATATATATATATATATATATATATATATATATATATATATATATATATATATATATATATATATATATATATATATATATATATAGAGAGAGAGAGAGAGAGAGAGAGAGAGAGAGAGAGTAAATACCCAAAATGGTCCCTCGACTATAGTTAAATTCACAAATTAGTCCTCGAATTTCAATTTCAACCAATTAAGTCCTTAACTTTGCAATTTTAACACAATTTGGTCCTCTGTCTATTTGACCGTTTGTTGACTGTGATTTTTTAGGATATATATGTAATTTCATGGTCCATCGTCGGATTTTTAAGGTTCTGGTTGTATTTCCAGACCGCACTGTTACATGTGAATCCACTGCTGAAAGCAATCTATCAAATCCGGTCGCCTTTCTTCATCCTCCCTTTGGATTCAATGTAATTGAGTTCGTATCAGAGCGAAGAAGACGACGTGTTTCTTAACCAGTGCAACGTCATCCTGGAGGCCTCCACGTGCTCCGACGAGAGCTGAAGGTTCTTCTGGAAATCATCGATCACGGTCAACAAATGGTCAAATAGATGGAGGACAAAATCGTGTCAAAATTGCAAAGTTAAGGACTTAGTTGGTTGAAATTGAAAGTTGAGGACCAATTCGTGAATTTAGCTATAGTCGAGGGACCATTTTAGGTATTTACTCATATATATATATATATATATATATATATATATATATATATATATATATATATATATATATATATATATATATAGGGTTGCATTCAAGTGAAAACACCCTTAAAATACAAACGTATGGACTAATATGGACCATTACATTAGATTAGATGAAGGGATTAGATTATAGTGGGAAAAAATAAATCTGAATCCCAATCAAATATTAAAAGGGTAATTAAGACAATTGATGGGAGTATTAATTTAGGTAAAACTAGGATTGTGATATTTAACCTAAATTAACAAGACTAATTATAGTATGATTAGAATGAATCACACACTATAGAACACGGCACTCCAACACCCAGCGTTAACCTATCTCCCCACGGCAACGGCAAACAACGTACGGGAAAGAAACTTCGACGTCAACGGCACCAACGGTAAGCAACGAACGTGAAGAAGCAGAGTCAAGAATGGATTATACATCACCATCACAACCAGGTAATTATCAAAATTCATTACAATAGGTGAAGCATAGAATTTGAATAAACATTGAATAGTACATTGTGTGAATGTCATAATAATGCATTGCGGTTACTGTGTACAGTAGGGGTAATTGAAAAACCTAACAATCTACATGACATGAACATAGACAGGTTGGGGGAAAAAATGACAGTAAGGTACCATGCACACGCACAGATAGTACAGTGCACACCTATTACACTAATAGCAATAACGTACACCACGGGCGGGGCCTAACTTAACATACACATACCCGTGCACGCATCTGGGTGAGTCCATGCACAAATCCAAAATCACACGTAAGCATGTTAAAAAACACCACGTGAAAATGAAACAACTATACTGACATTCACGGCGTATGTGTTTGTGATACCACGCACACAAGCGGGACTACCCGAGCACACATCAGAACCCCCACCATATTGGAATACCCCTAACGTACTATACAATTAGCACAACCTTCATGCTATATGACGCAATTTACAAGTGACTAACACCTCTAAACTGTATTTCGTGTGACGAACAGGTGAAGATAATTGCAGACACGGAATACACGAATGTGAAATGGAAATAGGCGTAGACGGTCCGAAATACTAGAGACCGGCAACTTAGAAAGAAAAGACACCGTACGAGGACAGCGATTCGAAATAGTAGAGGCCGGGATTGATTTCTACATAGCATACGCTAAGGAGGCAGGATTTGACATTAGGCACGGCTCAAAGCGTAGAAATCGAATGGGGGAAGTATCAATTAAGTACATGTTGTGCTCAAGAGAAGGGTACAAAGCCGAAAGGAAAGACACCAACAAAACTCAAAAGAACGAAAGAAACGAAGGAGAGTGTCCAACAGGATAGGCTGTAAAGCACGTATGGTAATGACAAAGTGTGACACTGGAGGATACAAAGTCTACGCACTCGTACTCCAACACACACATTGCCTATGCTCAGAACAGGGAAAACCTTTTTTAAAGATAAATAGGAAATTAGACATCGGCCACAAAACTTTTTTGGCACACTGTGCAAAGGCAAACATCGGCCCAACAAAAGCTTTCAGACTATTCAAAGAAATGGTGGGAGGGTTTACGGATATAGGAGCAACATGCATTGACTTCTGCAATTTTTGGCGTGACTTATTAGCCTATATAGCTGAGGCAAACGCCCAAATGGTGATTGAAGACATGTTCAAAAGAAAAGAAGAAAATCCGGACTTCTATTTCGATTTCGACATAGACGAAGAAGCTCAGTTATCTAGGTTATTTTGGGCAGACGCAGAATCACGAAGGAATTATGCTTGCTTCGGCGATTTGATGTCATTTGATGCTACATACAGCACAAACAGGTACAATTCAAAATAAATTATGTATGATTAGCGCTGCCTGTGCATGCAAGGAAATAATGTGTGCACAGTAGAATACTGTGTTGAATTAATGAATATGTGTGCGTGACGTACGCGATTAGTGTGCACAGCAGCGTGCCGACCACCAATAGCACACCCACAAAGAAATGTGTGCAATACTAATTCCAACCATGCTTACATTGCAAGTACAAGTTAGTTTTCGTCCCTTTCATCGGAGTGGATAATCACAAAAGATGCATTACATTTGGTGCGGGCCTAATTGCAAAAGAAGAAGTTGAGTCGTACGAGTGGCTAGTACAGAAGTTCAAAACCGCGATGGAATACACCACAAGATGTACTATAACTGACCAAGATCTAGCACTAAAGATAGTAATGCCACAAGTTATGCCAACAACTAGGCACAGATTCTGTATGTGGCACATTATGACAAAAGTAGGGGAAAAGGTAGGGGTTGCGTTGTGGCATAACACCGACTTCAAGAAGGCACTGAATAGTACCGTATGGGATGACACATTGACCATTGATGAATTCGAGAGAAAATGGGACACACTTATAAAAGACTACAAACGTGAGGAACATAGATTGTTTGCCCAATTGTATGAAGCGCGTGCATCATGGATACTTGCGTACTTCAACGACATAGATATGGGAGGACTCCTCAGGACAACTTCACGATCAGAATCAGAAAATAGCTATTTTGGTAAATTTACAAACCACCACAGCAACTTGGTAGAATTCATAGCACAATACAACAGTGCCATCCGAGAACAAAGACATAAGCAGCAACGACTCATCGCAGAGAATGAAGGTTCGTACGCTGAAACTAAAACCCCTTTGAGTATTGAGAATCACGCTGCTAAAGTGTACACCATAAACGTATTCTATGAATTCCAACAAGAGGTATGGGAGGCCAGTTTCACGCGCCACATCACCGACAAAAAGAACGTAGGTGACATACGAACTTACAAAGTTGAGGAAACAAGAGTAAAAATGTATGAAGTAACCGAAGCCCCAAATGAGGTGAAAATAGAGTGTGCATGCAAGAAATTCAACCGTGTTGGTATACTCTGCAAGCACGTGCTAGCTGTTATGAAGGCAACAGGGTATGAATCAATCCCAAAAAAGTATATTGTTCCACGATGGAGAAGAGACGCATGTGCACACCCACTATACGATGTGCCGTGGGAAAAAACAACCAATATCCCCACCACGAATGAAGCATCAAAAGTAGCCAATCAACTTTGGAGCGAATTCTACAACTGCATGGGATTAGTGAGTCGTTGGCCTAACAAAATGGACCAAATGTTGGCAACCTTGCAACAACTGAAACAAGACCTACAAAGTGAGCGGCAACAACCACACGAGAGTGGAAACACCGAAACTATGTTCGAAACACTACTAGGATCAAGCAAGCCAGGAGACATACAAATAAAACCACCCAAAGTCGCAAAGAACAAAGGAAGTGGGAAGAGACTCAAAAGCAACAAAGAGAAAGCAATCACAAAGACCCAAAGGAAAAAAGAGAGGACATGCAATATATGCGACCTCCCAGGCCACAATAGCCGCACCTGTCCAGAAAAGGTAGCACCAGACGAAGCTTAGAATACTCTTTATTCCAAAAATATTGAACAATGCAATTTAGAATTACGAACCATATGTCTTGCACCGTACTTTGTGTTTTTAATTGAACATTGCGTATTAAAAGTTTTAGGAAAAAAACGTATACCCACCCACGCATCCCACAAAGGTGTGTACACATGTCAATAAATAAAACCACAACACACCCCATCCCCGTGTTCAAAATTAATGATGCAACGTACAGAACTAAACCCAAGCACACGATTAACAACATACGTGCACATATAGTCATGATACTAGCTATGCCATCAATACTGAACAAACCAACTTAACATACATTTACGAACCAAATTTACACGAAACATACTTATTACATGAAGCGTACTTTTTACGAACCAATTAAACAAAAAACATTTATGAACCATTCTTAGAAAAACAAAAACACAACCACGAAACCCCTACGCACGCAGGCACAACAAGCACGCGCACACGTGTCCCACGGAAAAAAAAAATTAAAAAACAAAACCAGACTCACCGCACACATGGTACCACAACATTGCACACATGAAAGAAAATAACACCACTGCCGCCACAACGCCCATTACCGTGAACGAAATTCGTGAGTAACCTTAACCTTTGTTAGCTAAGCAGATGTTTGAAAAAGTACGCGCACACCCATTTAAGTGATAGCGTAGAGTAAAACAGGCTAGAACAAAAAAGAATCGAAATACGAGGCAAAACGTAACATCACCCCACTATGCTCACGTGAAGCCACATATACGCACACACACTAAGATGGGAGTCGAGAGAACACCTTGCACGTAGCTATATTAATAAACGTTGCATATAAGCAAAAACCTAAGAAAACAGCCCAAGTCCACAGTACCAACATACACCTCTAAAACAACGCCAACACAAAAACAAATACCCCAAAACCAAAAATCGAGCACAGTAATCAATATCGGTGTACACAGAATAACAAAAAGCCAACAATGACTACCTAAATAATCCACATGTCTAGATAGGGGGCAGAGGAGCCGAAATGGACTGGTACGCTCACGAAAGATTGCGCTGCCTGTGCACATTAAACTCCGAAATCACAATCTCCGACATGTAACGTAGCCTAAGCTTGTGCAAAGTAGTAGTGTCCCCCTTCAATAGACCGCAATCCCAATCACAAACACGCTGGCCAACATACGACTCCATATGCCGCATGAGAAAAACCCCGCAATCAATCTTGTTCTTCGAATCCCGTCAAGACATTTGCAAACGCTTTGACTCAACACAAACACAAGCAGCAGACCGAGAAGGAGAACGAACCTCATAGGATCGGGAAAGCATCCCCATCTGAAAGACAAAAAATACAATATCCATTCAAACACCACTCGCACCAGCGACATACGGAGAAATCAACACCATAAACATAATAAAATGGGGGAAGGGGTGCAGAGAGAGCCGCACTCACCAAATCCTCAACACAATCACCATATTTCTGCGCCTTTGACGTGGGATTCGAATCATTGTCAATGATCACATAGCGACACCGGGGGAAATCAACACAAAGCAAGAAAAAGTGGCCACGACGCAAAATTGGGAAAAACAACTGCACACAACAAATACAAACATGAGGGTGCGGTCTAGCTATGCACGTAAATGTAACCCGCAAAGCACAAGAGGACAGTGTGCACGAATACCACAGGCTGCGTGCACAGGCAGGAACACGAAACTACGACAGATCATATTAATAACAAAAATAAACCACCCATACCATGTCAACTTTAAAAATATCATCATAAGGCGACAACTCCAAATCCATCAACAACCGCTCAGAGAACCAAGCCAACCTCTTCTCCGGGGGTTGGGAAGTATCAACAACTGTAGACAACTAAAAACCCCACAAACACAAAAACACATAAACCAAACAGATACTAAAACAAGAAACACACAACCACCACCGAAAAGGGAAATGAAGGAATTGAAACAAACCGTCGTGAACGTAGAAGCAAAAAGGCGTGACGGTGCCGCACGAGCCTTAGTCACCTCACGACGATTCAGAACAGCTGCCCACGCATCTATAACGCCCACATCAACCTCAGAACCCGGAGTCAGCGACAACAGACCCCCCCACGACACAGTTCGTCCACCGACACAAAATATAGTTTCACCCCTAATATAACCAAACTGTCAATGCAAACAATAAAACAAAAAGGCAAACCACAAAAACAAACAAAACGGGAAGACTAACATGTCAGCAGGCAAACCACCCAACAACCAATTCACTATTAACGCATCCTCCGGAAGGTCAGGCATGGGAAACGCAACAGCTTCACGAGAGCCGGACGGCTCATATTGAAGAGGGGCAACCACAACTGGGGGAAAAGCCCCGGGAGGCATAACGGGACACAGCGCTTTAATCGGAGCCGCACACCCTGGGCCATCAGACAACGTGGGCTCAGAAACAACATTCACTTTAGGACACTCCTGCCATGAAACAACGAAATGAGGGGTGAAACACCAAACACACCCCACATACGTAATAAAAGAAACCACTACTAATACCCAACAACCATATATAGTTACAACTATAACCTAACACACACCATACCCATAACAATTACAACAACCAACAAATGCACCCACTATGCACATCTACAGCACCACAAGGATAGATGTAACTAGCAAACACCTTTAAAAAAAGCGAATAAAAAAAACAGAATACAACCGTACACACGTACAACACATGAATACGCACACAACACCCTAATAATCAATACATGAACACACGAATAAAACTGCTACACACATCTATAATAACAACTAAAATAACCAACAATTACAACAGCTATGCACAACTACAAAAACTCAAAAGCACATAAAAACCACCAAAACACCAAAAAAAAAAAAAAAAAAAAAAACCCCATCAAAACACAGAAGTGCACACGTACAAATACGAACAAGCACACAACTTAAATAAAAAAATACATGAACCAAAAAAATAAAGCTACTACCCACAGCTACAACACACACACTGAATGCCAAACCCTAAAAGAACCAACCTCAACTGGAGTAGCCGCCTGTGTACAATCCGACGTAGGGCACCCACCGGATCTGAACCAACATCACCAATGACATCAACACCATGCTTAGGCAAAGCAACCTCTTCCGCCAACTCCTCACCACCAGCTTGTTCGGCACACACACCCCCAACCCCCTGCAAGGGAACACACCGAATATATTACAACCAACGCCACAAAAATAAGTAATATCCAACTTCAAACACCCAACATATAAGAAAAGGGAAAGAAAAGATTTACCTCATCCATAACATTACCACAATCAGGCTCAGCAACCATACACTCCGTCACAATATTGTTAACCACTTCAGTCGTCGCATCTAGACCACTAGCATATACACCACCAACCGCAAAATCTTGGGTCAAGCCAAGGCTAAAAGACGGGATATCACTCAAGCCCACTGCGTGACCAATGTCCCGAAATTCAGAATCCAACTCAGAATCCAACTCATGCAGACGGGGCTGAATAGGACCATACAACTTCCGACAAACCTCCTCCTCCGTAACCCTACCACGAGACATCGCGAATAACCCGGACATCTCATGAATGGAACTGAATAACACAGCAGCAACCTCACCCACCACACATTCAAAAGTCTAGGGGGAACACAAACCAAACCACAAACATCAGAATGAAACAATAATGTACACCAAAAAAGTCGTCTGTGCGCAGTAGGCAAACACGTGTGTGCACTGCCCTGTAAAAAAAATTAAGAAAAGACCCACAACCAAACCTACCCATGTGCACAACTAACAAAATGTGCGTGCATTAGAAATCAAAATAAATGGGCAAAGTAATAAAACACACAACATAAACGACAAAAAAAAAAATTACCTTAGGTCCAAATTCAGGATGATGCTCACCATCACCATCCGACCGCAACCCCACCATAGGGGGCTCAATCAACCCAACCCCAAATTCACTCCCGCTTATCTCCGCAGCCTCCCGGGCAGCTAACAACTTAGACGTCCACCCCCGAATTGAAGGAACCAATCGAGGAACCAAACGCTCAAATGGCAAGAACCGGTCAACATAAAACAACTGAAATATAAACACAACAAATTAAGGCGAGATGCTAACCAAAAAACACCACACACACAAAGATAAAATACAACCATACCGCAACAAACTCAGCAGGCCCAACAAAGCACTTATGCCGGCCAGATTTCCAAGCATCCTGCGTCTCCACCAACGAATCCAAAAGCAACTTGCACCAATTTAGATCACGAATGCAAGAGACGTCATCAAAGCAATGAAAGTACATCTGATTCGCATAGCCATTGCTCATAGAAGAAACCAACGTAGATACCACCAACATAGCAAAAGGCCTTGTAGACACAAAAAATTTGAAACCGACAAGTGGACCGATTAAATCATTATCGAGCCCAATTTCAGGGTTGATCATTAGTCCAATTTAATTAATTGGGCTATGATGATTAAATTAATTTAATTAGTCTAAGTAAATTTGATTTGGGCTATCGAATTAATTAATTAATTGGTCCAAGCCCATCTCATAATTGAATTATAATTATAATTATAATTCAAATATAATAAAGTCATATTATATTTAAATTATAATTATAATTATAATTCAATTATGAGATGGGCTTGGACCAATTAATTAATTAATTCGATAGCCCAAATCAAATTTACTTAGAATAATTAAATTAATTTAATCATCATACCCCAATTAATTAAATTGGACTAATGATCAACCCTGAAATTGGGCTCGATAATGATTTAATCGGTCCACTTGTCGGTTTCAAATTTTTTGTGTCTACAAATTGCCCCCTCGAGACTTTCTTGGACATTCCACTTGAGAGCATACACTGCTTGAAAGTATGTAGTGCATGGAAGTCTCGAAACTATAAAGTCATTTCAACTCGTGCCACGGAGCCTTATGGGATATGAGGCAATTTCGACTCGTGCCGGGAGTCTTGAAGTAATAT